CTCATATAAAGTAGAAATCCTCTCAATATTTAAAAACATATAATAATAAATATCTTTGTGATAGAAAGTAAAATGTCCTCAGTTCTCTCTTCTTTCTGTAGTAAAAGCAAAGTCTTTTTCCCCACCCCTAGTCTAGGGTGGCCAAATGACTTGTTTTGGCCAGTGGGACACTAGCAAATGCCATAGAGAAACAGTAGCTTGAAAAGCACTTGTACATTGGGGCTTACTGTCTTGCTGGGTGAGGAAGATTGCCCTGATGTGAATGAGCCCAGGCTAATCTACTGGAGACTGTAAGACCACATCTCAGCAGACAGCTAACCAGCCACCACACAACTAACCAACCACCAATCAACCCAGCAGCCAATCGCAGACACATGAGTGAGCCACAGTAAAGAACAACTAAGCCTGACCCATACCTACAGAATGATCTAGCTCAACACAGCCCAAATTGCTAACTGCATATTTTTGAGCTAAACAAATGTTTGTGTTTGAAAACACTAAATTTCGACATTGTTTGTTAAGCAGCAAAAGCTAACTTTTAATAAAAATATGTGTGCACACACATACACCACGATCTTTGTGGGTCCTGTGTTTCCCATAATTACAGGCCCGTGTTGTTCTCTTTTCAGTCGAGTTTGTACAATACAATTGCTGTATCGATTTCCTTACTACTTGTAGCCACCACACCCTAAACTGACACCCCCAAAGAGTCACAGCCTTGTATGATCCCCTTGTCTTGAGTGTGTATAGAAACTGTGACTTGCTTCTAAATAAAAGAACCTGACAACGGTGAAGGGATTTTTCAGATGTAATTCAGGTGCCTAATCAGGTGACTTTGAGGCCATTAAAAGGGAGACTATCCTGTATGTGCATGATCTAATCAAGTGAGTTCTTAAAGAATATCAAAAGGTTAAAGACTCAAAGCAACAGGGACTTTTTTCTCTGTCGCTGGCTTTAAGAAGCAAGCTGCCATGAACTCTATAGCCTCAAGGAAATAAATTCTGCCAACAACATGAGGGAGATTAGAAGTGCATTCTTCCCTGGTCAAGGCTCCAGAGAGAATGCAACCTGACTGACACCTTGATTTCAGCCTGAGACCTTGAGCAAAGAAGGCTCAGCCATGCCCAGACTTCTGATCTACAGAAACCAGGAGAAAAAAAACAGGTAATTTTTTAAGCCACTAACTTTGTGGATATCTGTTCTGCAATAGAAAACTAATAAAGTTCCTACTGACTTCTTAACAGTTGGGTTTTTTTTACCCCATTTTTTCATAAAAACTGTTATCACTAAGGTCAAAGGTCTATAATGATCTCTTTTTTCCTAAACCCAACAAGCACTTGAATCCCTTTTTTTTTTTACTGATTTCTCTATAAAATCTGTCTCTTCCAATTTCTTCTTTCTTTTCAAAACTGTTTTATCTGTGCCTCTATCTCATTACTCTTAGTTTATTTCCTATCTTTCCTGTTATCACTAAGGTCAAAGGTCTATAATGATCTCTTTTTTCCTAAACCCAACAAGCACTTGCATCCCTTTTTTTATTTTTTACTGATTTCTCTATAAAATCTGTCTCTTCCAATTTCTTCTTTCTTTTCAAAACTGTTTTATCTGTGCCTCTATCTCATTACTCTCTCTTAGTTTATTTCCTATCTTTTGATAAGCCCTTTTCATATTCCTTTTCATCTTCCACTTTCTTCTATGTTGGTACTTCCTTGAATATTGCCAGTATCGGGAATGTACAGAAAAACTTGTATTTATTCAAGTTTCAGCTCATACAACATCGTGATTGTCCCCTCTTATTCCACTCTAGACTGTGGGCAGTGAGGGTGGGCAGGCAGTGATAGGACACCGTTTCTGATGTCTGATTCAGTCTTTACCTCCCCAGCCATACAAAAATTCAAGTTCTGACAGCAACAAGTCAGGAGACCATCCACTTGAAAGGCTACACCATCTTCCTGCTGGGATTGTCAAAGCAACTTGATTTTCCATACATGTACTTTTTTTGCACCTGGCTAATGGTACAAGTTAACTCACCGAGAGGTAACAACAAACCATCATTCAGGGATTCCTCTAGCATCAGAGCAGGCCCTGGGGCTTCCCAATGATTCAGAGAAATTCTCCTAAGTGTGTCTGTCTCACTCACCATGGAAGGTGACAAAAGTAAAGGGAGAGAATCAGCAAGAAAGGTGATGGGGAGGTTGCAGTGGGAAGATCATCAGAGAAAGGTTGTTTAAAAAAATAAATTAAGTTGCTTGGTCACGGATTTGTCTATCAATTGAAAGAATGAGGTCCTCTAAATTTTTAATCCTCCCAACTGCTCTAGACAATGATACAATCAAAAAGGCCCACCTGGAATCCGAGTCACCACTTGAATCACCTCTCACCTACTTGTGCAAGGTCAGGCCCCAGGTGGCTCTGCTCCACACGCACACAGAGTCATCCAGCTGATGGTCATGAATGCATTACCTCCTGGCATCTTAATATAAACATGCCACATTTTAGGAACAACTTGCGGCATTGCAAGCTAGTCCTCCCAGCAGTTAGCAGAATCCAACAGGGGAGTTTAATTCCCTACTCTCTTTCAAGGTCTTCAATCTCTAAATCCCTGAGTCAAAAGCTGTGGATGATTTGCTTTAGTGAGCAAAATATAGAACAACAGCACTAACTATGAAGCAAGAGTCCTAGGCTCTCTTCCATACACTATTAACAGTATTCTCTCAGCTGTGAATGCTCATTAAGAGCTCTTAATGCTATTTATATCACAGGATCATGTAAAAAGGAGGATCATTCATTCATTCATCAGACACTTTCTGAGCACCAGGCATGGTATTAGGTGATGGAGACCAGAGGAGAGAAAAAGACTTTTTGTCATGGAGTTCATGAATCTAGTGGGGTAAGAGAGACACATAAAAGCTATTATAATACAATGTGCTGGTATGATTAGGGTATTTCATTATAAAGGTGAGGCCCAGGAGTATAAGGAAGATTTCTATGTCTAATGTCCAGTACAAATAATTTGTTGTAATCCTTTTTCCATAGATCAATGAAATTAGGTATTTAATAAATATATGTGCTAATGTCCAAATTGCCCAGAACTTCATTTAAAAACTTCTTTTATTTGACCCTATCCAATTATTCTGATCTTATATTTCATGTCCTCTTTCCAGTTCTCACTTCTGAGCTATATTGAACAAATGTATAAAAGCTCTTCCTCTCCACATATTCCCTACTCTGTACACCCAAACATGCTTCCATCGCAAACTTCTTAAATACAGGAAATCACTTTTTGAGAGCCTACCGTGGGCCAGACTCTGTTTTGGGCGCATTACATATGTTATCTCAATTAATCTTTACAAGGAAGGTTGGCATCATCACCTCATTTTATAAATGAGAAAACTGATGTTTACAGTTTCGAGTAACTTGCCCAGAGGAGCATGGCCAGAAGTTGCCTATCACATTTCTGTTTTCCCATAACACCTCTCCTATGCATAACCCCCCTCAATTAATCTTTACAAGGAAGGTTGGCATCATCACCTCATTTTATAAATGAGAAAACTGAGGTTTACAGTTTCGAGTAACTTGCCCAGAGGAGCATGGCCAGAAGTTGCCTATCACATTTCTGTTTTCCCATAACACCTCTCCTATGCATAACCCCCCTGTCCTTACCTCCCATCCATTTCTCAACTTGATTTCTGTCCCCATTACCCCATTCACACTGTTACCACTAAGGTCACCAAGTGATCTCCCTATTTTCAGATTTAATTGACTTTGTGGCCCTACTTTATTTGATCTTGCTTTTGATTTCCACTGTAGACTCCTCTTTTTTTGTGAAAAGTCCCTTTAGCTTTCATTGCATGAAACCCCTGTCCCCAACTTTGGTCCCCTCTAAGTCTTTTTCATTGAATTTTCTTCCTTCACAGTTCTTTCTTATTTTGCAATTTCCTGGCTTGAATTCTATGTCATCTAGTTCTACACTCTTTCCCTAAATAAATATCTCCACTCCCATCACTTCAACTGATATAGGAAATATCTGCAGTCTCACATCTCTGTCCTGTGTTCCAGATTCATACTTCAAACTCCTTTCTAAATATCATCATGCAGACACATCATCATTCAACACCAGATGCCGAACCCCTTCTTCTCCCCTCCCAAGACCTGTTATTCCTTCCTCAATTAATGATGCCAACATTCATCAATTTTCTTGGTTATAAACTTTATGCTTAATTTTCCCCAGATACTATCAATGAACAAGTCCAGCTAATTCTACCCCATAGGTTTTCTTTTTATTCCCACTGTCACTACCTTAACCCCAAGCTTTATCATCTGTCTTTCAGACAAATCATTCTGTGTGTTGTGTGTGTGTTAATCTCTTTCAACTCTAATATCATCCATAGATAAGACAATTCTTGGATTTCTACATGAATATTCTTCTCTTTTTTCTGAATTTTATTTAAGAGGATTTTGATTCAATTGCTTATTTTATATTCCATCTTTACTTTTAACTTACTCTTAACTTATTTAGAAATATTTTAACATAATTTAATTTTATGTAAACAAGCCACTTCAAAGAAAATATTTGAAGACATATATGCATTCAACCCAATATTTATATTGACTATGTTCAAGATAATATACTAACTACTTTGGGGAACAAAGTATTTAATAAAAATGAATTTAACATGAGCTTTACCTTTAAAGACTTTACAATTTGTTAGTGGAGATAAGGCATGTACCTCAATAGTTATAATATACACACTGGAATGTAATAATTATAAAATAGGTACCAAAAAAAAAACCTACCAGATTTATATTGAAGGAGAGTTTACTTTCACTGAGGGAACCAAAGCAGACTTCATGAAAGAGTCAATGTCTGAACAAGGACCTCAAGGATGAGCAGAATGTACATTTTTGAGTATTTATTATTTTAACACACCTTACTGAACCCCTCTTATGTGCAAAGCAGTGCAGTGGTGCTGGGATACAGAAATGAACAGAGACAAATCTTGATTTCAAATTATTTTTAATCTAGTGAGGAAGAAAGATAAAATCATTTATTACAACAGGGTGAAAATGAATTATAATGGAGATTTTCAAAAAAAGCTATGAAACAATAAAGAAAATTGCAACGAAGGAAGAGGAGAGAACTAACTCCTCTTCAAAGAGAATGTCTGTAAGTAGAGGTGCTACTTGAGCTGAGCTTAGAGTATCAAGTAGCCTAGGCCAAAATGGAGATGCATCTGGGGAAGAAAGTTCACAGGGGGCTCAGGGATGGAAAGGTGTGAGTGGGTGCTTCGGTGTTAGTTCAAAAGAGTTGAAGAAGAGAGGGACAAGATGCAGATGGAAAAGGACATCCAGTCTAGCTTACAAACAGATTGAAGACCAGACTAAAAACAAGATCTTTTCCAGGATGTCTTAGGAGTGGCTGGCTCACCCCTAGTGCTAACTTACAAACAATTCTGTACCTGGATTCATTTTTACCACGTAGACTAGCTAACAATTCACTTAACTGACTGCATTTCTGATTGAAAAATTGATGTTGTTGAAATCAAGTAGGTCAATCATGGAATACTTTTCAGACTTTTTACATTAGAGTTCTATTACTGCCTGTATTAAATTGCCTAAACTACTTTCTTTGGTGCTCTGGTCATTTCTGTTTAATTTACATTGTGATAACAGTCATCTTATTTTTATTTCATGACTCAATGGATTATTATAGGAAATGGAAACAGAAACAATGGCCGTTCCTGAGTATTTCAGGATCCAGTATTCCTCTGTTACTGGTAAACATAATTTTTAGCCACAACTAATAAATTACATTGAGCTTTGCCTTTTTATTTGGAGCTTTGGAAACATGAACTATAACTTACTCCTAAATAATGTTTTTGGAAAAAAGATTCCAAAGTATGCATCAACCTCTAGTTTGACTTATATATATATGGCCACATGAAAATAAAAATAAATGTCCAGTTCAGGGGAAGAAATCTATCAGTTTTGGAAAAGAGTAAGTCAAAAACCCCAAAATGTATTTATTAATAATATTTTTCTTTATTTATATTTGGTATCATCACACCTACATGTTCTTCTCATGGGGGTCACATAAAACTACCCTCCACTGACAATGGAAATCCCCACATCCCCAACTTGGTTATTCATTCCATCATCTTCCTGAGGTCCTAAGGCAAAAAAAAGAATGTTTTAAGCCTATCACAGCTTATTGAGAATACCAAAATTATACGATTATAATGTTTTATTTCAATACCTAGCTTAGAATAAACTTAAGAAATAAGAATTTTAGTCCAGTAGACCTATGTGGGGGATGAGGAAGGGAGTACCAGAGTGTAAGTCTTCCATTACCAAAAGGCAATATATGATAGTGGATGCTTGAAGGTGATAAAAAAAAAAAAACAAAAAAAAAACAACCCAACCCCTTTTGATAGGTTCGTCAAGTAGTTCACATTGTGGATTCTCCATAATTAATTGGTCAAAATTATTAAGCCCACAAAACTCACTTACCCAGCATTCCACCAGCCACCAGAATGTCAAAGAGTGTTTCTGCATATCGGCGGTAATCAAGTTTTGCTCCAGAAGCATCAAGAAACTTAGCTACTGCTTCCAAATCAGTACCAGTTTCAGTTAAGCCTTGAATAATACAGTCTTGAAACTGAGTAGGGTCAAACAAAAAAAAAAAAAAAAAAAAAAAAAAAAAAACAGCATCAGGGAGTCAGTGAAAGCTGCAGAAATAAACATGGGATGGCATCAAAAATAAAATGCCTGCTCTACCATTATGCATAAGTTCTAGTAGCACAAAAAGACCAATGCACCAATAAAAATGTCCTTCAAACTACTTTGCATTGCTTGCAAATGCCTGATCTAGTAAATCCTAAACAGGGCATTTCAGCACCATGCTCATTGTCCGGGAATGAGCGCTCCATATGCAGTACCAACTCTCAAGGCCAGATTCTCCATTCCTAACATTCTAACTACGCCTTGTCAAAGTCATCTTATATTTTTATTATACCAAATAGCCAGTCAGTGGCAAAATCTTTCTATTTTTTTCCCTTCAAAACCCCTCCCTATCCAGCCTGTTCTTTGCTGCCATCACAGATGTGGGTCTATTACACCATAGGCTCTCCACCTAAAAGGAACCATTTAATCTTGCTGCTAAGTTTTGGGGTGGGATATTCTCCCCACTTCACTGAGGTCAGCTCCTTGCTGGTGGCTTCCACAATCACAATAGATATTTTCCTTAATACACGCAAGGGAAAATCTTTTTCCTTACACACTCTTATTTTCTAGTTTATCCTTTTGCTACCCTTTTACTAGTTTAAAAGCCATGTGTTGATTAATGTAACCTGACTGTATCTTTCCCATGTCTTCAATATGCTTTTTAAGGCACCCAGCTCATCAATCACTCTTTCAACTGAAGAAACTCCCAATGTCAACCTTCTGCAAAATTGTTCAGAAGAGGTAATATTCTCCCAAATCCATTCCAGCTAAATGTGTTACATTTTCTCTTCAGCCAATTCATTGTATAATTGTATAATCCTTTTCAGTTTACAAACTTATTACCTAGTTTACACTATGTATGTGATGATTTATAAACTTGGGATTTAGGTTTTTCAATATATTTTTCTTTGAGAGTTTTGTATGCCTTAAATAGGAATTCCTTTGTAGACATCCCACAACAAAGGGTATGCAAACACAACTTTTTTCTCTTATGGCAAGAAGGCAAAACCTACCTGCCCATGCTTTTGCTGAGGGCCCATCGCATGAGCTATTTCAGGATGTGATGAGGCCTTGGGTTCAGCCCCCCGTGTTTTGGGACGCACCACATCAGAGACCAGACTGGAGGAGATTGCTAGAGACTTGGGTCGGACAACTGCAGTGCTTGTCTCCCCCGAGGGGCCTTGTTCACCTTTTTTGCTTGTAGCTTCATCTTCCCCTTCAGAGTCCACAATAAGGACATACTCAGCTTTGAAGAGGTCACTTTGCTGCATTCCTTGAGGTTCACTTTCTTTAAATCCCCTTTCTTGTGAAATCTTTCCACTGACCTCTGAAGTCAATGTCCCTTGGTCTCTCTCTTGTCTTCCAGCATTCAAGGTCAAGTAGTCATCGGAATTAGACTGTAACAGATGTAGAGAGATAAAAGTGTTGACATTAGTTTGATAATTTTTTTGTTTTTGTTTTGTTTTATTTTTGCTTTTTTGCATGTACAGTGAAAAGCTTAATCTGCTTTTAAAGAGTTTTATAGAGCATATTTAAAAAAATAGATCGGACTAAGAGATTGGGTTGAAATGAATAGTTTACTTTTACTAGCCCACCTGTTTGTCCTGACCCAAGCCCAAACAACTTAGGGTTCAGAATCAACATGCAAACCTAACTGCTTTCTAGTAAACCATAATATGATTTTTTTTTTTTTAAAGAGAGAGTGAGCCATGTTTTCCATGAAGACATTCATGAAACAAATGGATATTGGTCAAGGGATTAGTTAGTGGTCAAGCAATCCATATACCATTTACAACCAGAGGGGGAAGGAGATGCCATTGAAAGGTTCTGAAATAATATAAATCTCTCTAAAAATCTGAGAGGAAAAATAAAATTGAAACAAAGTGCATAGATAGTCAGGCAAAACAATCTAAACTAATTGGGAAAAACTCATAAATGGGACACCAAAAAGAGGTGGTTATTTTTAATACCAAGTATTCTTCACTATGTTATTTTATTTTGGATTTGTAATATCTCTCTAAAAATCTGAGAGGAAAAATAAAATTGAAACAAAGTGCATAGATAGTCAGGCAAGACAATCTAAACTAATTGGGAAAAACTCATAAATGGGACACCAAAAAGAGGTGGTTATTTTTCATACCAAGTATTCTTCACTATGTTATTTTATTTTGGATTTGTAACTTTAAATATTTTCTCAACCAATTTTCTATGTATATATGGAAGATTTATAAGACCAAACTAAGATAGCTTTTTCAAGCTACCAAACTTCTGTTTCTAAAATAATAGCTATGTACACTAAGGTTGTGTTTACAGGACCTAATGTCAATTTCCTTGTTGTAATAAATATATTATGGTTACTATTCTTTTCTCTATAATTTTCTGTTAGGCGAAAATTATTTTGAAATAAAAAGTTAAGCCACTGAACAAACTAAAATAAACTAAGAATTTCAACTATGGTGGTCAACTTAACATATGCTAATATGTTTTATGTGTTATATGTGTGAAGATAGGAGTCAAACCATTGATTACATACAATTAAACTAAGGAGTTGATTTTATACATTCATCCCACACTATTCAGTGGGTGATGATATAGTCAGGATAACACACAAATTGCCTCTAGCTAGGATTTTCCTTTCTTTATCTATTTACTCTGATGTATTTTTTTCATGGCATTTATCACTACCTGAGATTTTATTATATACTTTTCATTTTTTCATTTTTTTCTTTGTCTGCCTTCTCAATAACAAATAAGCCATGTGATTGTCCTTATTCACATGGAACCCAAGCACCAAGAGCATATAGCATATGTTTAGTTGATAAGTATATAAGTGAACAAGGAATTACCTTATTCTAATATTGAACTTTTTAAAAAATAGAAAAATCTTTAATCTTTTCAAGATTTGGTTGTATATATATCATTGCCATCAGCAGATAAATAGTATCATCTCAGGAAGCTTTAGAAGTTTGAAACCAAGCCTGGTTCATATAGCTACAGTCTCATACCATTCATAGACTCTAGCAAAGGATCCCATGAAAATATTGTTCAGTACTGTTAGGAAGAAACTTCCCAGAAATACCTTATATAACATTCTCTGAGATAATTTGGCCCCATTAGTCTTTCAAATAAGACATCAACATTGAAAACGCTGGATCAGAGATATATTACTACTTTCTAGCTCCAAGGAACCTTCAAAAAGTTCACGGAAGGACTCATTATCTTTGCGTTTAATTTTTTCACAAACTTTTGGAAGTATCCTCCAACAGATGTTTTTATAGACAAGGTGAATCTGATTATTTTATCCCTTCCCCGTTGTCTCAAGAATAACACAAATTTCCCCCAGTCACATTTTATTTATAATGAAACAATGTTAAAATACACTTTAAAGAGAGGAAAAATTTTACCGAAAATTTTGTAATTTTAACACAGTCATTTTCAAGGTTTTTTTGTTTTAATTTTACTTCTAGGTTTGGTCACATATTATATAGGTATAATTAGGGTATGAATACAATTTTATAGCCTATCTTATCACCTAATATTATAAGGTTAACATTTTCCATGAAATGACATAATCACCATAATTATAACTTTTTCAAGGTGATATATTATCATATTCACAATTTTTCTCTGTTAGATAATAGGCTGTTTTCATTTTATCCTAATTATTTTCCCATATAAAATTTTTCTTCTCTTGTACCCTTTCCTTGGGATACATGTCCCTAGAATTACATCTTTGAAATGTTATGACCACTTTTATGATTGTAGATAAGGGTCTTTCACAAAATTGTAAAAATTTACAAAACTAGCGGTAAGGTCTGAACATGCCAATATTTCCACCACTGCCCCCACGTTGGGTGTGGCTTTTTTTAATGTTGCTAATTTATTAACTCTAAAATAATAACATTTCACCATTTTATCTTGTATTTTCTTTAAGTTCAATTTAAGCACTTTTCAATTTTGTTTTTATTTTCTTAAGATATATTTGGGAGAAGGTGCCAGGAGGCAGAATTTGTCATGTGAATAGCAAATAATAGAATGTCAACTCAAAAGAGTTGAGACTAATGCAATAGAGAGAACCTGGGATTTGATAAGAGTTAGGTTTCTATAACATAATTATATTTTTAGTAAACCCTAGATTTCACAATAATTTCACTTTAAGCATGGAAATAAACATTGATACGAATTTCCAAGTCATTACTATGGACAATTTAATATAATAGCCTGAAATAAAAAGTAATAAAAGTAATCCTACCCTATTTACAGTGTCTGGACTCTTATCACTTGGTTCTTCAGGAATTTTAACAAGGAATTTAGAGGTGTCAGCCAACTGAGTGTGGGTTGGTAGTCTTCTGACAGTGGGGACAAATGTGAAGATCAGAGGTTTGGCTTCCGAATCACCAGGAGAGACCTATGAGATAGTAATAAATTAAACTTGCAGTCTTGTCAAAGGTTTATCTTGTCTTTATTTTCTATATATCATGATACTTATCTCATTTATTTTGATAAATTGCCTATCATCCGGGAATCATCTGTAGGGCTGCCAAAGACAACAGCTGTAAAAATAGTCACAGTGTATCAGAACCTTTTTTATGATACCATTTACCAGAGAAAGCAATACAGCTCCAGGAAGATCCTGTTGAAGGGGATGGCGATAAAACAGTAGTTAATCAAGCTGATCAGCTGGAACCTTCCAGGGCATCTCTACCTCAGTGGGGTCATCAAAAACACAGCATCTTGTCTCAGATTCAAAATTGACTTTTATACATTTAACCCTGGGTTAGCAGGTTCAATTTATTGACTCATGTTCAACAAGCATGCAAGGAAATTCCAACAATTACCATTAACAAAATAGTTATAATATGAATTTAAAATTGAAAGCATGCCTATCAGAATGTCCATGCCTGCTCTTATGGATATACCTTCTCTTTCATTTATTCTTATTTCATTCAAAAATAATTTTATTAAGTACTTGATGTGGGACAGGCACTCAGGACCAAGGGAAACAATGGTGAACAGGAAAATAGTCAGTAGACTTTTCACAAGTAGAAAAGGGATATGCACAGAACACTAGGGAAACGTGATGAGGGGTGCCTACCCAAACTGCAAGCTCCATAAAAGGAAACACCTGAAATTTAGGTCCAGGTGAAGAGGAGGATAAGGATACCCCAGGCTGAGAAAATCATATTAGTGAAAGAAAGCATGGAAAGCAGCAGCAGTGGGTGTGCGTCAAGCTTGGACTGAGTCCTGTTGACAACAGGGAACCAGTAAAGCATTGTCGATTGAGGAACGACATGGCCTTATTAGAATTTTAGATAGATAAATCTGGTTTTAAAAGTCACATGGGGGCCGACCCGGCGGTGCACTCGGTAGAGTGCGGCACTTGGGAGCGCGGGGGCGCTCCCGCCGAGGGTTCGGATCCCATATAGAGACTGGTCCGCTTACTGGTTGAGTGCAGTGCGGGCGCGACACCAAGGGTTGCGATCCCGTTGCCGGTCGCAGTACGGGCATGACACCGAGGGTTGCGATCCCGTTACCGGTCACAAAAAAAGACAAAAAGGAAAAAAAAAAAGTCACACGGGTAGAGACAAGAACAGAAAGACAAAATCAATAGGTTGAGGACTAAGTTGGGTATGGAGAAAGAGAAGCTGGTACTGTAGACTTCTATTTCAAGAAGCTTGGATGAGAAGTGAAGAAAGAAGTTGAGAGTAGTTAGGGAGGGAAGTAGAGTCAACGAGGTGGTTTTGTGGGTCTCATAATAGAGTAGACTTGAGCATATTTATGGACTGGGGGATGTGGAGCCATTAGAGAAGGGAAGGGGAGCAAGATCCTAGAGGAAGCAGGCAAAATAATATAAGGAAATAGGAGAGGGAACATGGTCTCCTTTGAGACCAGAGAAAAGGAACTAAAGATGTAGAAAAGTCCATGAATGTGGTGGACTGCAAAAGTGATAAGAGTAGGAAGGTTATGGAAAAATGCCTAAATACAATCAGTTTTTATGATAAAATCATCCCCATCTAGTCAGAGTAACACTGCCTGCCCCTCTGCCATCTCTAAGCCTCTGCCAGGAGAAATCTGATATGCCCTGGCGAGACCCCCACTCTCCTCTCCCTTCAGGCGGCACCTCCTTTCTGTATCCTGCAGACTGTATGACCTTATGGGCATGCCCTTCAACCTAGTTCAGGTCAGTGCCCATGAGAAACCCAGGCCTCCGAGTCATTCCTCAGTCCCTGGATGCCACGCCCATCCTGAGTTTTGTTCCCATCTAGCACCCTGCTCCACCCCTTGAAACCTTTCTACAGTATGCTACTGGGAATTCAGTCAACCATTATAAAAATTCACACCATATCTTTAACTTCTCTAAATATTCCCTTCACCTTCCCGTTCTACTAAACATGGTTCTCTCCAGATGACTCTAGGCCTGGACGTAGGATAAGTGTTCTCCTTGTTCCTCTTTACTGCTTCCAAACTGTTCTCTCTCACCTAAAAAGTTCCAGCATTTAATATCATATCACCACTCTAAACCATTCACTACCTCTCCCAGGTGAAGTCACATGCCCACACCCAAACTGAAGTCACATGCCCACACCCACCCTTCTTTCCATGAAGATTTAGTTCCTGGCTCAATGCCACTCTCTCTAACACTATGCTTTTCATAATATCCAATATTATATCCCAATAGGTAATTTTTCTAATACTGTGTTTCCTTGACCTTGCCTTTCACATCCCTAGCCTAGACCAATAGCTGCAAACCTTCCATAATTTCAGTTTTTTCATTCTCTGTCCACCACTTCCTGTCTCTCCATACCACTCCCTCTAGTATTGTGACTTCAACATTTCTTACACCCCACTGGGATTAAAATCTACTTGATCCTTCCAACATTATGTTTTCCCACATTCATCTTCTTAACCAGCTGCAAAAACCAAGTTGACCACAATTACTCCCTTGGATTCCCCTCAAATTCCTTGCCCTCTCTTGACATCATCATCTAATTTGGGTAAATCACGATCTTCACTAAATCTAACCACCTACTTACTCTATTCCTGCACCACAGCTGGGGGAAATCACACAACCATGCTTACTGGTCTCACTTCAGATTTCTAACTGAGACGCAAGCAGACTCTTCAATGCTGCCCCACAAAACTATACTTCCATGACCCATCACTCTCCCTTGGCCTAGAAAACTTTCACACCTTTTTCCTTTTCTTCAAAACCCTGACATCTTCTTCCCCATTCTCACTCTGAGCTGATGACTTTATTTCCCATTTTACTGATAATCAAAGCAATCAGAAGAGAAACCCCCCAACATCATATCTACTTCCCCCTTCATCTCTGCCCTTTTCCATGGTCTTCAGTCCTACTACTGTGCTCCTACTAAAAGCAATCCTCACTTGAACACTTTGACTTCTAATTCTTTTTATTCACTAAGATCTTCTTAAATGCCTACTAAATATTAGGCACTTATTTCAGGGATTGGGGCTATAAGAGTGAACAAAAATCCATACCCTCATGGAGTTTACATTTGAGTGGAGGGAGACAAACGGTAAAAGAATAAATATAGGAAATATATAGTATTTCCATGAGTGCTATGAAGACTCACTATATGGCTACTGCAATAACCATTTTGGAGAGAAAATTGTGGGTTGAACTTGAGTTGCTGTAGTGATAGTGGTAAGAAGTATGAAGACTCTGGCTATATTTTAAAGGAAAAACTTAGAATCTGCTGAAATATTGGAGGTAGAGTATAAAAAATAGACAAGAGTCAAGATGAGTACAAAATTTTTTGCCCTGAATAACTGCAAGAAACGAGACATTATTCACTGAAATGAGGAAGACAACAGTTAAAGCTGGTATGAGAATAAAGATGGTTACATTGTGTAATGTCAAGTATACTAATTATCCTGATCTGAGCATCACATATTGCACACAGGTATTGATATTCAATTCTGTACCCCATAGATATGTATAATCAGTTATGTTTTAATATAAATAAATAAATAGTTTAATTAAATCCACCCCCCCCCACACACGCACACATAAAGAATAATGCTCAAATTTGATATTCTCAAAATGCACTCAAGTGGAAATACAGGTATGAAAGTCGAGTTTAAAGGAAAGTCTGTGCTGGAGATAAAATTTTTAGGGTTATTAACCTGGTATTTAAAACCATGAGACTAAATGAGATCACCAAGAGAGTAAACATAAATAGAAAAAGAAGAGATCCAAGCCTAAACCCTACAGACTCTAATATTTAGTTATCCAGGGCTGAAGAAGATCTAGTAAAGATGGCCTGGAGGTTTTAAAGAAAATAGAAAAGGTTGGAATATTATTGACAGCAGTAAGAAAGAGGCCTGACCAGAAACAAAAGGACTGACAGACTATACTGAAGGCCCAGCCCAAATGTAAATCAATAAATTTGTAGTGAGGCAATTTGCTTGGACATTTGATAGTCTCTAGAGGGATATTGAACTGCCTATCATAGGAAAAGAGAAAGTGAATTATAGCTTTTTTTTTCTTTTTTTTTTAATTGAAATGTAATTGTTTTTACATATCTGTGGGGTACCATGCTGAATATTAGTCAATACCTGTGTGCAATATGTGATGCTCAAATTAGGATAATTAGTATATTCAGCATTACACAATGTAACATTTGTAGAGTTGATGTTTGGAGGTGAGTTTGACAGCAGGATGCTGTGAACATAAGGAAATTAAGGGCACTTGTAAGAGTAGAGCAAATGATTAACCATGGAGTTCAGTGTGTGTAGGTAAGAAGGACTGTCAAGTTCAAGAGATTAAAGGTCTCTATGGCTCAGAAAACAGATTTGATGCAGTGGTGACTACTGAAGAGAATGGCTGGGGTCACAATAGGGTATATTTAGAGTTTAATAATTAGAAGTATGGAAATTTTAGATGATTATGGAGTGTGGGTTTTAGCTTTGAGACTGAATATCTGAGAGGAAGGATACTGAGCTTGTGAAGGTCAAGGAACTGTGAGATGAGAATGTTGACAGGACTGTCCTTGTGAAAAGAAAAGCCAGGCAAGACTAGGCTGGAGAGAGAAACTGAGAACATGGTGGCAAATCTTGAATAAATGTGGAGCTGGGGTCGGACGGGTCCTTGAAACATGCAACATGAGACACTACATTATTAATTACAGGTTTGCTTTCTGAGCATAAAATCAAAAGAAGAACTACATATCCTTGTAAAAGATTTCACCCAAGTTTTAGGAAGGCCTAATGAACTAACTCTAGACCACTTATTTACAGGGTATGACTTTCTGGTAACTTATTTCTTGTAGAAACAATGCATATTTTTTTTTTTTTTTTTTTTTTTTTTTTTTTTTAAGATGACTGGTAAGGGGATCTTAACCCCTGGCTTGGTGTTGTCAGCACCATGCTCAGCCAGTGAGC